GGCCTCCTCCAACCCCTAACAGCCTCACCCGGTCCTCCGGTCAAAACAATAAACACAAGAACACAAAGCCCCTGGGCTACAACATAAAAGCTAGACCGTCCTGGTCAAATAAGAATCCATCCCTACCAGAGAGAGAGCGCACCAACCCCAGGAGCAACCAGGGGATGTTCCCACCATCAGAGTTCCCCCCTTTGTACTGGCCGAGTTCCTCCTCCCTCAGCCGCCAGAGAGAAACTGCCCTCCTGGCCTGCCTGGGCTTAAGAAGGGCTAAGCTCCGCCCCTTCCTGTCTCTAGGTTTCACTGGTTGCCCTAGCAACCAGCACCTGTGCAGTCCTGGTGACTGGCGGCTGAGCTTCCCCCTTCTCGCCACTAGGGGTCTCTCCCGAGCTGTTTCTGCTCTCAGTCGTAGGGCACCTGAGAGCTCTGCGACAGCACAGAACACCCAGACTCGGTCTGGCCTTTGGATCCTGTCTCAATGGTCTAAAGGTGGGGATGGAAACTCTGGGCAGCTTTCACTCCTCCATACTCTGCCTAGCTGTACATGTCAAAGGTCCTGGTAATCTCTCATGCATACACCATGATCTAGAAGTAGTTTACCTCTACTATCCCAACCCCCAACTCTAGAAGAAATTCCACTTGCAATTCATATCTAACTATATGCCCATGGGCAGATCCAGGATCAGGTTGAGGGATGTGTAGCAACACCCCATTTGGATGTGGCAGTGCTCACTACCCTGGGCTCTAGACTTCATGAAGGCAGGGGCTAAGGCCAGAGTCCAAGCTGGTGAGCTCACTGTGCATGTGCTATGCAGTCAAAGGCAGTATAACTGTACTGCTGCACCACCCTGGATCCACCCCTGTGTACATCTCTTTCCTAATAATGGACAGGATTGTCTTTGCATTTACCATGGAATAAATGTACTTGTACTGGAGCATAACTATGTGCAACAACAGTCAAAACCAATAGATACCTTCCTTTCCCATCAAAAATCTTCTAAGTCAAAATAAAAGTGACTTCCTGGTTGCATGTTTACATGTTTTAATGCTTCTAAACATGATACAGAGCTAATACAATAACAAGTCAAGATCTACAATTAGTTATGCAGTTCTAAGTTATGTAGTTCCATTGATATCAATAGAAATTGTGCATATAACTGAAGGCAGCATTTGGCATAAACATTTAACAAGCTTAACATCTAGCTCACCCAAGTAAATTCAAGTCAATATAAAAAAATAGCATTACATTCAAAGACCCTCAAACAAGCTACCACGAGATTCAGAACTAAATTTTTAAAAAAATCACTGAAACTTTTTACTCTAAATTTGCTTTAAAAACAATGTTTTTGTACCAAACTGAATTTCAGAGTAAGATGAAAACAGAATGGGATAGGTAGGATTATGAGAAAACTGTATTGCACCTCACATTGACCATCCTTTTAGAATGAGAGGTTTCCTGGAGACAAAGGTCATCCCGGCCTTTTGGTTGACCATTAAAACCTCTTTACACTCCCTATGATATCCAGACTTCAGGAATCCATTAGAGTCCTGTTGTCAAAGGATCCTACACTTCCACTTCCCAAAGAACTTCATGTTAAAGGGGAGACTTCCAGGTTAGGAAGAAAGTCATAAAAACCTAATGGAAACATTTAATGTTGCATTAGAATCTCCAGAGACTTTGAATCTGGGGACTGTTAGCACAGTATCCAACACACTCCTTCTAGCCTCAGACTCTCAACCCTGCTGAGGGTTTTCCAGAGGATCTGTGGTAGAAAGTATGGTGCCACAAAGGTGAGTGATTTTCTCGGTAGAATCAGAAAATCCAAGATTCTTTGGATATGTATGTATGACTGCACTACAAGAAATCTCTCTACATAGAATGAATATACCGCTTTCACAGTGGCACAGTTTTTTAATCAAGAGACTAAAAACAAAACTCCATAATGTATTATCACCATTTTACAGATGAAGAGCTAAGGCACAGTGAGACTGGTTTACCTAACTCACACAGGAAATTAACTGACTTATGGTATGTCCATACCACTTCTACTGAGCTCTCAGGAATATTGTTCTCAAGCACATGCCATTCACCTGCTCTTGCTTTGTATATGCCAAACCCAAAAATGAGGCAATAATATTGTGTTAAGGATACCCTCCTATGCCATTCTCAAGATTTCTGCTTCCAGCATGCTTGAAAATGGTACCCAGAGACATTAACTTCACTTTGTCACTAGTGAAGCTGGCATGAGTGGGCAGAGCCTATTTGAAAGTGGAATTTCCAGGAACATCTATTCCAGAAGGGGTAAAGATATATTCATATATCTCCTGACTCTCAGTCTCATGTTTTATTGACAGAACATCCCTTCCTTGCCCTCTTCTATTGTCCATACTGGTTGCATTAGACTTTTTGTTTTTTGCAGTAAACTTTTTTCTTCTTTCCTCTTTTATCTCTTCATGAATGTTTCTGTGTTCCTCTTTTTACATTTTGAACCTCATTTCATTGTTCTATTGTACTCCAAGGGTGTGTCCAGACAAGCATGCACGTGCAGCGCCTCAAAGCTGTTTGAGGCACCACAAACTGCACACAGCACATGTGCAACCATTCACTGTGCTGCTAATTTGCAGTGTGGCACCAAAATTAAACACCAGGAGATCCTGATATTAAAAAAAAGTACCACAAAACAAGAAAAAGTGGCACGGCACATGTGGCAGCAGTGTGCACTGCCAGATATAAAGCCTGGCTGTACTTTTTACACTGTATTTTCAACAGTAGGAGAGATTCATTTCTCAGTAACTAGACTCAAGTATTTAGGTCTTAAGCAGTGATTGAAACCTAAAATAATTTGCTAGAAATATGGGATATCATTATTCAGTACAAGCTCCATGTGATTTTAATTTTCAGTTCTTTTCTCATTTGTCCATTCAGCTGACTTCTTAACTACACAGTGAAGTCTCAGTACTATTTTCCAATAACTAGAGAGGTAAAACAAGAAAAAAAAATAAAAGAAGAATATAAAAATGTTGAGAATATAAAAGCTTCTTATGTAAAGCTTCACCATTTACTTTTTAGGGTTCTTTTTAAACTAAGGAACTATCATGAAAGGTTCTGAGTGAAAATGTTGACCATATTCAGCATATGACAGGGTTAATATCATATGGAATATCATATGGAAACTTTCCTATATATAAGTATTTTGTAATTTTTTCTCCCCCAACCCCCCAAAGCCAATAGGCATTTTATTTCTAGTTTCTAAGAGAAAACTCATCTCTAAAAAGTATTCTATATTGCTTCCATTGACTGAGAAATGTTGGCATCTTCTAACATGAGAGTAGGAGAATGAGGCGAAAAAATCCACATTCCATCATATGAAATGCAAAAACAGCCTAAAAGGTGTTCTAGCTGTAATCCTTAGATGAAAAAAATGACATTTTTGTTATTTTTTAAGAGGAAGCAAGAATTACGGTGTGTCCCCACATGCAGAGAAATGTGTTTGCCATTGCAAAATAGCAATGGTACATATTTGTGCAATGTGCTTTGGCACATGCCAAATTGTCCTGGGTGGGGTAGGGGAGATGAGGGCCAGCAACTGTACTGGTCCCAGCAGCCATACCTGGGGTCCTGGGGGCCTCCCGGGGCAACAGCAACACAGATCTGGCTGCATGGATCCTGGGCAGCAGCCAGAGCATGACTCTGGACAACCAGGCTCCATTTCTGGCAGTGCACACTGCTGCCACACGTGCTGTGCCGCTTTTTTGTTTGGAACTTTTTTTTAATACCAGGATCTCATGGTGTTAAATTTTGGTGCCACACTGCAAATTAGCAGCACAGTGAATGGTTGCACATGTGCTGTGTGCAGTTTGTGGTGCCTCAAGCAGCTTTGAGGCACTGCACGTGCATGCTCATCTGGACGCACCCTTAGAGTACAACAGAACAATGAAAATGAGGCTCAAAATTTAAAAAGAGGAAGCTGTATTGAAAATAGCTGCAAAAGAAAAATGTACTATTTTTAATCAGTTTCCATTCACACAGTGACAGATTATTAAAAAAAACACATGATGATTTCTCCATTTTCCATTCTGCTTTTTGTCTTTCAGTGAGTGAAGCATTTTTCAGTGGCACAGTGTTCTTCAACACTAGCAATTCATGTGTAACACTAACTTCTAATTTTGAAGCTCTGATCTCTGCAAGGTTTATTAGAATTGAATGTATACTTTACAGAAAGATGGTATAATAATTGCAAAGAAACCAAGCAATATAATAATACAAAAACATGTTACAGTGAAAAAACTATAAATACTTCTTTGTTCATTTCTCCAGTTTCTTCTGCCAACCTGTGAACAACTCTTTTTATTGCAAAATAATCTCCTGACATCTCATTAGTGCTTTTTGCATCACTGCTTAGCTTCACAGAATTTTAAAGAATAGTTATGCTCAGAAATTGACTCTACAATAAAAACATGTTATATCTTTAAATGATAAACAAATGTCTATTATTTATTTAGACTGGTGCCAATGTACAAAGCACAGAATTTATCTAAATAAACAAGTCAGTCCTAAGTGATTTGGGGCCAAATGATGTATGACTATCCTCACAAGACATTTAACATCTATAGGTTTTGAGGTTTAAAGACATGAAACTTGAATATTCCCTGGTATGCCTATACTAAGAATTTTCTGAATGATTATCACCAAGATATTTCAAATCAAAAGACAGGTTAGAAGATTTCCTTGCCTCTGTACTGTGCTTAATGCCCCAATTCAGGAAAGGGATTAAGGACATAACTTTTAACAATGTGTTAAGAATGTGACTTCAAGGCTCATGTTTAAAGTGTGTTCCTGAAACAAGGCCAAAGATAGCTAAATTTGTAAAATGTTGAATAGAATACGATTTCTACAATAGATACATTCTACCAACTCTTTTTGTTTAGTTTGTAGTGTATCGGTACTGTCTGCTCCGTCATGGTTTATGGCACACAGAATAAACGAAAATATAATTTGTTACCTTGTGGATAGAATTTAGCATAGCTGTCTCCAATTCAACTAACCACTTTTCAACTTGACCTCTAGCTTTAGATGTTGAGATTGTTTCTATAAGTTCCACCACCTCTCCTTCACTACTTTTTATATGGGTAATGTCTAAAACATCAGTAAATTCCACACTTGCAATTCCTTCAAAGCACTTTTTCAAGTGAGGCTGTACCCTGGAGAAAACAAAACGTAACAAGTAAAATGGAAACTATAAAAAGCTTCACATTTAGCAAAGTTCTAGAAAATTTTTCCACCAGTGCTATAAAAGCTCTAAAGGTACTTCTGAAAAGTATTTTTAAGAAATTAACATTTTTGAAAATATATCTGTTAAATTTCAAAAGCCTACTTATCCTCAAGGAACAGTAAATAATAATGATCATAATATATCATATGTAATATAAAGTATATTATATATCATCTAATGTATATTTTATATTATATATATATCTATAACATAATATATAATTATGATGATCTATTATGGATTATTATAAGGTAATATCTATGCAGGATGCCTGCCTTACATATATTATATGTATATAAATATTTGAATATCAATTACAACTTTTAAAACATTATTCATGTTGTCATCAATTCAAGCATTTAATACTAAGGCACCACTTCTTTAACTGTTAATTGTGCATTGTTTAATTATGCATTCCATGCAAATAATAATTATAAAAGATATAAACGTTGCAAATAGAACAATCAAACCCAAATTTAATTCTGCTGCTTGTGTACATGTATCACAGTACTGATTTTAGCTGTATGATGTGATTTTCTTTCCCCCCACAAGGTTCGCTGTCTCATTCACTGCACTGTGGCCACGTCTACACAAGATGCTGACTGCGCAGCAGTCCAATAGTACTACACAGCAGCATCACGTAGCAAAACAGAGACACAGCACTACTGCACAGTATCATTAGGCTACTGAGCAATAGCATCATGAAAAATACATTGGTTGGCACTACTGCACAGTAACTATACAAATACTAAATGACTGTGCAGTAATGACTACGCAGTCAGCATCTCATGTAGATGCGGCCACTAAGAACTTTTCACAGGATTGGCCAGTGGTAAAGTAAATACATTGTGGGCGCAACTATACATGTGCATATACTGCACAATAACTGAAATTACAGCTCAGTACGGGTGCATGTCTACACATGCATGCCCATACTGTGCAGTAAATATGGCAACTTACACTTGAGCATAAATTTGATACCTGCATCAGGCAGGTATCAAATTTATGCCCAATTACTTACTGCACAGTAATGCACGTATAGACACCTTACTGCACAGTAACACTGTGTGGGTGGACTGACTTGGGACTAACTTTAGAGCAGTGATTCTTAACAAGGGCGCCTCAAGCCCCTTTGAAGGGTGTCACAAGAAATGTGAGGAGATAAGGCAAGTGCACGGAGATAAGCACATAAGGACAGGCTCAAGCTGCAGGTATGAGGAGACAAGCAGGTAAAAGCAGGTTTTCCCTGCTTGGTGGCTCCCCTACCCCACCTGCCTAGCCCCTCTGCATTGAGGTAAATGTTGTAAATATTTTGAAATTGGGTGCAGCTCAATTCATAAAAGTTATGGAGGGGTGCCTTAAGTTTAAAAATATTGAAAGCCACTGATTTAGAATGACATAGTTAGCTGTGTTAGTATGAAATCAAGTAGAAGACAGGGTAGATTTGTACCTTATAAACTAACCAAAGTGTGTGGGCATTTCTCTCTCTCTCATATATATATATATATATATATATCAAAAGCCTTTGTGAGATGAAGTTCATTTTATTTAGATAGTGGTTATCTTGCCTTGATCAAGAAGTTGAAATAAATGGCCTTTCAAGACACCTTCCTGACCTATTTTTCTATATTTTTACGACTCCATAGGTGATTATAACAGGTATAACTAACCTGTTTTCCTAATCTGATCTGATTGCTACCTGAACACTCACTTTACCACAACAATTCTTAAATACCACTGAATTAATTTGATGAATTAACCTGAATTTAATTCAGATATTAAAAATGTAACTCCATTTGATTTGAATTCATTTCTGATAATACCTAATTCTGTAAATACTTCATGTGTATAACTCTCTGAATTAAAAAAAAAAGTTTTATGTATAGAAACTCCCTACAGCCATGCTTTTAGCTTGTATGTATTATGAGCCTTATACACACATCTAGCAAATATTACTGTACCGTGAAGGATCTTTGGTCTCTGAGAGAATCTCAAGGAGTTCATCATTAGACAAGAAAAAGAATCTGGGGAAAAAAAGACGCTTCTTCTCTAAGTAATCATTAAGTCCCTTAAGAATTAGTTCCAGAAGTTCATTGCACTTCTTCAGCTTTTCCAGCATCTTATCTATCATCACAACTATCAGAACATGCTTGTCCTGAAAAACAAAATACAATTATTCCATCGGAAAAGGGTAATGAGATACTAATAGTGCAGAAAAAATTGTAGAGTAACTGTCTTGGCTTCTCTATTTTACTTCAAATTTTAACTAGGGCATGCCACATCATAGATGTTTAACATTTATCTTCTCCAATGTCTGCATTTTTGGGGGTGTAGGTTAATATAAAGAAACCGGAATTAAAGGGACATTAATATAAGATCCAGATAAGCTCAGTTCCTCAACTGATATGGATCAACATAGCTCCATCAACTGTGATGAAGTACAGTATGTGCCCCATAATGTTCAATCAGACTACAAAATTCTCTAATACCTGAGATCAGAAAGATTGATTTTTTTTAAAGAAAAAACACTGAATAATTTTATGATTATCAGTAACACTGAACAGGGTTGCCAACTCAAATAATATGTTTTTTTACTGACAAACTGTAAGATTTTTACTGACAACAAAACTTTTCTGCTAATATGTTTTACTGATATATGCTTTAGATAGTGGGGTAGTGGGGTCCTACAGGGTTTGGTCCTTGGACCTGTACTCTTCAATATCTTCATCAGTGACTTGGATGTGGGTGTGAAGTGTACTCTGTCCAAGTTTACGGATGCTACTAAATTGTGGGCTGAAATGCACACTCTGGAGGGTAGGGAACGATTGCAGGCAGACCTGGACAGGTTAGAAAAGTGGGCAGTACACAATAGGATACAGTACAACAAGGGCAAGTGCAAAGTGCTGCACCTAGGGTGCAAAAATATCCAGCACACCTATTGGCTGGGAAGTGACCCTCTCAGCAGCACAGAAGCAGAAAGGGATCTCATAGTCATAGTGGATTTCAAGATGAACATGAGTCATCAGTTAGCAAAGCTAATCACACTTTATCATGCATCAGCAGATGCATGACAAATAGAACCAAGGAGGTGATATTTCCCCTCTATGTGGCACTGGTCAGACCACAGCTGGAGTACTGAGTCCAGTTTTGGGCACCATATTTCAAGAAGGATGTTGATAGACTCAAGATGGTCCAGAGGGGGGCCACTTGTATGGTTAGGGGCTTACAGGACAAGCCCTATGAGGAGAGACTGAGGGACCTGGACCTCTTCAGCCTCCGCAAGAGAAGGCTGAGAGGTGATCTTGTGGCCACCTACAAATTCATTAGGGGGACGCAGCAAGGGATTGGAGATCCTGTGTTCATCAGGGTGCCTCTTGGGGTAACAAGAAACAATGGTCACAAACTGACAGAGAGCAGATTTAAGCTAGATATCAGGAAAAATTTCTTCACAGTAAGGGTGGCCAAAATTTGGAATGGGCTTCCAAGGGAGGCGGTGCTCTCCCCTACCTTGGGGGTCTTTAAGAGAAGGCTGGATAGGCATCTGGCAGTGGTCATCTGACCCCAGCACGCTTTCCTGCCAATGCAGGGGGTCAGACTCAATGATCTGCTGAGATCCCTTCCAACTCTAACATCTATGAATCTAGATCGGGGTCAGCAATGTTTTTGGGCACAGTGCCAAAAACATCCACAATCTTGATTTGTAAGATGTTGGCAGGGGAGCCGCAAGAGGCCTGATCTTTGTTGCGGCAGAGCAGCCCAACCCCTTCCCCGCCATCTGCCCTAAGGTACATGTGCCAAGCAAAATGCCTGTGTGTGCCATGAACTGGCACCTGTGCTGGGGGTTGCCTACCCCTGCTTTAGATAATGTAAATGTACCTCTTCTTCCAAGCACCGCCCTGCTGCCAGGCCCCAGTTAGAAGGGTTCTGTTCAAATTTAGAGATTTAATATAAACCACAGTAAAAAAAGTTAAAAAGTTCAATGAAATGTTCTTGGGTTGGCACCCCTGCTTGACCACAGCAATGGTTCCATGCTGTGCTGCCCATCCCCCTGCCAGAAGTCCAATACTCACTCCCAACAACTGGATGGCAATAACTGCATCATGCACCGTGATATCCACACCCCAAATTTGCCCCCACTGGTCCCACTCCTCCTGTCCTGGCATGGTCCCCCAAAGAAGCCTACCTGCAACTCAACAATATTACAGGCAGCCTGGGACACAGCAACAGCAGCACAACGTTCAGTAAACATTCCCCCACACAGTGCTGCACTCCCACTCTGCCACCAGGTGGTACTGCTCTGCTATGCTGGAGTTTCAGTTAGGCTGCAGCTTCTTACTGTTTTTACTGATGATTAAAGCTTTTTTATGGACTTTACTAACTGTCAGTTTTAGCCTCATCTTTTACTGGCAATCAGTAAATTTACAGACAGCTGGCAACCCTGACCAATAACCAATTTCAAGCAGGAATTATATCATAAGACAAAAGCTCATCTTTGCAGAGTCAGAAAAGAGTTTCCCTCTCCCCCATGGAAAATATTACAGTCAAGAGCCGTGAAGGCCTAGAGCAAGGATGTCAAATATATGGCCCACCAGCCAAATCCAGCCTGCAAAATCCTGCCATGTGGCTCCTGGTGTTGCACCTAGGTCTGATCAGACCCACACAGGCACAGGCCCAATCTGTGGACCAGATCCAACTCACAGATCCCCTCCTTCCCTCTCCCCTCCCCACAGCATACCTGATTGGGAAGCCACTCCAGCTGGTCTGAGACCCAATGCTGCATGTAGCATGGATCCTGGAATAGCTGGAACAGGCACCGCATACAGCGCAGTCCAGCCAGAGTGGTTGCCTTGGCTATATGTGCTGGCTGCCACAGCCAGATCACACCACAAGCAGTACCTGCTCTGGGATGTACACTGCACTAGCTCCAGCCAGTCTGGGACCTACATTGCACATGGTGTTCACTGGTGCTGTGTGCTCCATGGATCCAGGTGCCCCATGGATCCCGAAGTAACTGAAATAGGTGTGGCATACAGCACAGCCCTGGAGCTGCTAAGATGGCTGCTGTGTGCAGTGCAGCTGCCACTCAGGCTGGACTGCACTTTATACGGTGCCCATTCTGCACATTACAGAACTGTGGCTACCAGATCAGGTATGCTGGGGGACCGGGGGGGGGGGCGGAAAGGGAGCCCACAGACTGACCCCAAGACACTCACTCGGCCTTCAAGGCCAAATGATTTTAACACCCTTGGCCTAGAATGTTCCTACTTAAGCAAGCTTCTGAACTGTAAAAGAATGCCAGATTTGATTAGCTTTTTACTAATCTAATATGGCAAACTGCATGTTCCAAATATTCACAATTTGCTACATGTATATATTTAGACATTTTGTTAACTAAATAACAAAAGGTAATATTACGAAAACATAAAGCAAATGTTAAAGTTATATTGTTTTCAAATTCAGTAATAGCTGGTAAGATTTATGGTTTAATGCGTATGAGATTTGTTTATAGTTTGTGTGTGTAGAAAGTAGAATTCAGATCAAACATTTCATTTTACCACTTATAAATTGAGGATTACAGCAAACAAAACTAATTTAAAGCTACTGCAGTTACTAAAGAGTGGTATCTGATTTAACATAAATGAAACATAAAAAGAGGATTTACAGACTTGCTAGTTCTAAAATATGCAAACTAACTTAAGATAGTGTAAAGTTGCTTTAGCTTCAAATTTTTTAATTTAATGGAACTTATGATCAATGTAGAGCCAATTATACATTGTATCAAATACTGGCTTTTAAAAGTAAAATAAAGATCTAAATCAAAAAGCATGAAAAATACACCAACCCGTTATTTGTTCTTTTCATTATGCATATAATTATTTCTGAATATAACACATAGCTGCAGTCTAACTCCCTATGAAAGACAGAATGCATTGCTTATGTACTTGATTTTGTTAAGGGACATATATGCCTCATACCTGATCAGAGTATTTCCTTGTAAATGAAGCACACTCACTTAAGCAAAAAATCATGACACTTCTTTATATTTTGTTAATTGTTCCATAAATGATATCAAGTCAGAGCAATCCGAATTAAATAATTACTCATAATGACTGAGCTGTCAAAATTCAGGTACAGCTAATGCTTGGTTTTATAACAATCTTTAAATGTGAACAGTACAATAATACATATACGTTGTCAAAGTAAAAACTGTCTTTGGTTTTCTTTCATATAAATAAATACATTACCACATAATTTTCTGTGTATAATTGACCCTGCAGTTCAAACTCAATCTAAAAAAATCTTACCTGGTTATGTTTTGATTCTTTTCATATAAGAAAAAAATAAAGATGTCCATTTTCAGAATGGGCTTCCTATCTAGAGTTCTGGTGAAGCATACATTCTAATATTATAGAAGCCTTAATCTGTCTGTCTGTCTGTCTGTCTGTCTGTCCATAATGCTTTATTCTCACTCTGATTGGCTGACTGAAACAACCAATCAGAGTACAAATACAGCATTGGGACAGGAGGTGGTAGCACAGCAGAGCACCACCATGATGGCAGACACACAGGGGACAGAGGGTGGGGCGACGTCAGCACAACTAGCCTTGCCCCTCCCCCACCCTGCTCCTTGGAGGTGGTGGCAATGGCACAGAAAGAACAGTGGGGGCTAGGACAGCAGCACTGGCCTCGCCCCCCTGCCCTGCTCCCTGCAGGTGGTGACTATGGAGCAGAGTTAGCCTTGCCCCTGACTTGCTCCTTGGAGGTGGTGGCAGCAGTGTGGGTGGGCAGTAGGGTTGGGATGCCACAGAGGGGGCGAGGCCATCAGCACTGGCCTTGGCCCGCCCTTCCCTCCTTCTGTCTTTGCCACCTGCAGAGCCAACACAACGGCAGTGGCGGAAGGAGTGGGACCAATGCGGGGGGGAAGAAGCTGGCCCAACGCAGTGGTGGGGGGAAAAAAGTAGGCCTGGGCAGTGGGGGGAGGGGAGGAGCACGCCTGGGCCTCACACAGGGGAGAAAGGAGTAGGCCCAAGGGGGAGGGGAGAAGCCGGCTGCCACGGCGGTTGGCAGGGGAGCAGCGGGCCTGGGCTGACGCACCAGCAGCAGGAGAAAGGGCGGCAGGCCTCCTCCCCTCTTGGGCCCAGGGCCGTTCCTCCC